AACCCGCCCGACGGATTATAACAATATGGCTTGCAAGCCCTCCCGCTTCAGTGCAATAAAAAAACTATATTTAAGCAAAGTGACTTCCGCATAAATAAATATAACTAACTGATAATATATATATATACATATCAAGTGGTCTTCTTAGGGTGTAGCCGTGGACTGGCTGCCATTGGCGTATGCTTCTGACGATGCCTGGTGGTGCGGTGCGTGGTAGGTGGGTCCCGGGGACATCGGGCAGCGCCGCGAACGTTGGCGGAGGCGGCGGGGGTGGGGGCGGCGGCGGCGGGCGGCTGGGGCGGGTGGCAGCGGGTGGCGGGGGCCTGTGGTCGGGTTGGCTCGGTATACAGCTCGGTGCCATCTTCCACGGAGGCTGAGGGCCCTGGAAGGCGCTGCTGCTGCGTGTTGGTGGCAGGTGCTGCTGGTGCTGTGTGTGCAGGGTGGGTCTCTGGTTTTAGGCCTCGCTGGCGCGGGAGCGGGGGCAGGGGCGGGGGCGGGAGCACGGGCGGGAGCGGGGGGCATGGCGCGGGGCTGGGGCTGGGAGCGGAGGCGGGGAACGGGGGCGGAGCGGGAGCGGGGGCGGCGTGAGCGGGTGCGGGATTGTGGTGCGTTGGGCGGGTGCCGGGCGGGGGCGGGGCAGATTTCTTTGGTGCAGTGACGGTAGGGCGGACTGGGGAGGAGCGGGAGCCACAGCGTCCTTGCTCGGCCCTAGGGAGGTGTTGACGATGTCTGCGCAGCTGCGCTGAGGTGTCTCTTGTCACCGCACGTGGTCGGGAGCGCCGGCGCGGTCGGGCTGGCCCGAGTCATGAGTTCTTACCGGTGTCGTAGCATACAACACTTGTAAATCATAAATAATAATAAATCATGCCATTAATGATAAAATAATGTGTGTGTTAAGCAATAATACATAGTTACAATTTTTAGTTTTAAAATATCATAAAAAATATAATAGTTACGATTGAATAATATATAATTTTGAATAACGAAAAATGCTAATAAGCAATAAGAAATAATTATATTTTTTAGTTTAAAATTAATATATATTATATAAGTTATATAGATATGAATTAATAATGTAAAGATTAAACGGTTAGTGAATTTAAATTTCAATTAATTTAATGAATTTTTAATCTGATGTGAATAAAAATAATACAATGTAAACAATTTACAATAATATTATAAAGATTAAATAACATAATAATATAATAACGGCGAAATTACGATTTGACGTCAACTTTTTTTTTGCCTCGATATAGATATCAAAAAATCGGGTTTGTTATAAGATGGCTGTCGCAGTTGTCCGAAGAACGATGTATATTAAACTGTAACGCCACCCTACTGTTTAGATGGGTTGCTGGTTTTTTTACGCGGGGTAAAACGTACGAGGATACAGTCTATGACATTTCGAACCGTGCCACAATTGGATACAAATTTCTGAATTGTGAGGCAAACGATCAATGCGTCCGGTAGTTTTTATGTGTCGATACACACATGGCACATTTACATGGCTAAAACTGCAAAAATCCTAGGTCTACCGGTACCCCTAAAAAATACCACACAAAGCACATCGTGACGAAAAAACAACGATCAAAAAGGGAAGCAATGTTTTTTTTAAATAAAAACTCAGTGCAGCGTGCGACGTGAGAACAAATGCAACGAAGAAAGACGACGACGACGACGACGACGACGACGACGACGACGACGACGACGACGACGACGACGACGACGACGACGACGACGACGACGACGACGACGACGACGACGACGACGACGAAATAAAAAAATGCATCGTCCGCAAACCGGCGCGTTTTTCGCGCCGCCGACGCGGCGACGACGTAGCATGCAGGTGGCGCCACCAACCTTCCACCCTGTCGCGGAATGCCCAGCCTCCCTCAGCGGCCACGTGCGTCGTGAGGTTCGTAGGGGGCGCTGATCCCGCACCGACTCCGGGAGGGCCGTCAGGGCGGGCCGGAGACGCGCCTGCGCTGTATGGCTTTCCGGCTACGTGCAGTGCATGGCGGGAAATTGGGGGAAAGGAGAAAACAAGCAAACGAAGGCAGGCTTACGTCATTGCTTACGTCATCGTTTACGTCACACCGGCAGGCAAGCAAATGCAACAAAACGGTAGACGGGTAACCAAGGAGAACGTGGAACCGCAGAGACGCATGAATTCGTATCGCGTCCATGGCAACGCCGAAGACGCCACGGCAGCCATTTTGTAGCGATTAAAAAAGCCTCTAGTCTTACCGTATCATATTTTCAGTTACATGATGCCATTACATATGACTGTTCCGTCTGGATTTTGAGCCATTTTGTAGCGATTAAAAGCCATTTTGTAGCCTGTACAGCCTTACCGTAGCATGTTAAATCACATGTTGCTACTATACTGTTTTGTAGGGATTTTGACCTAAACTCAGCAACAACTCAGCCAGACCTCGCTCTACGTTACAGAGCACCATGGCATGTTAATTTTAATCATAATATTCTCCTTATCAAAATAAACTCCTCACTGAAACTAATGTTCATCTCCGGTTCAACGGAAAAAAAATTCAGCTTGGCACTACATCTGAAATCATTTAGTAGGGCCGTAGCCTTTGGAGGGGGACAAGGGGGCAGCTAACCCCTAGATTTTGGAGCAGAATTAAAAAATAAACTCAGCTTATAATCGTAAATAACCCTAACGTGATTTTTTGGTCACTTATCCGTGAAAGCCTTGTCTCAGACCCATCCCTATATACCACACTACCACACTATGGACGTCGATCAAGAGCTGCGCCCGTCGCTCATCATTACACAGTTGAGTCACAAAATTTTATCCCCCCCCCTCTAGGAAATAGCTCAGCCTACGGCGTAATATACCTTTAACATCCTATATGCCAAATATGGTGCTTTTACTAAAAAACAACAACAATTCTTTCACATATCTGCCCCCACTAATAAGCAAATATGGCTGCCGAAAGCGTAGATGCTCTGTTGTTTCGAACGTGGAAGCTACTTTATGCGTCTCCGCCGTTCTACGGTCTCCGAAGAAATCAACGCGTGCGACCAAGATATATACCACACCTATACGCTTCAACTACGTATATATGGACGAGACTCACCGTCAGTTGTATGTGCACGGAGCACGGCGCCTAACCCTTTACTTTCCTCTCACTTGACTTACCTTACCTTGGACATGCACGTCCTACGTAGCTAGATGCACACGCACACAGTGTAATACAGACTACAACACCACCCTTCTCATCCCACCATCATTCTACAAGTAGGCTATTGCTTATAACTAAATGCACACGCACGCGGCGACTCCTCCGACATCATTCTTCAAGCATTGCTTGTAACTAAATCCTCCGACATCATTCTTCAAGCATTGCTTGTAACTAAATGCACACACGCACACAGTGCAATGCAGCCTACAACCCCCCAACCTGTACGCCGTCGCGGCTGTCGTGCGACGTCGACGTCGTCGTCTGCGTCGTCCGCTGCCCGCCGCCGGGCACCTGCTCGCGCTGCACCTGAAGGTCAGACGAAGGTCGGAGGTCAGACAAAGGTCATGTGTAATTCAGAGGTTAGGCAAAGATCAGAGGTCAAGCGTGGGTTAGGCGTAGGTCAGAGGCTGGGCGTAGGTTAGAGGTCAGGCGTAGAGGTCGGGCGTAGGTCAGAGGTCGGGCGTAGGTTAGAGGTCAACCATAGGTCAGGTGAGACGAAGATGAAAAGTCAGGCAAAGGTCAGGCGTAGGTCAGAGGTCGGGCGTAAGTCAGAGATCGTGCGAGGTCAGAGGTCAGGCGAAGATCAGAAGTCAGACAAAGATTAAATGTCAGGCAAAGGTGAGAGGTCATGTGAAGATAAGAGGTCAAGCAATTTGAGAGAAAATTTACATTTATATACAATTTGTTGATCTGTAGATTTGGTGAACGCTAGACTCGCTCTAATTCTTCGTTACCGTGCTTCGAACAGCGAAGAATATTTTCTTATGAAGCTACGAAGTTAAACGTTCATTTACCTGCGTTTGGGTCGTGCTCTGTGGCTGCTGTTGCCATGGCAACCCCCTGGGTGCTGGTGGCGCCGCCTGGTTGTGCTGCCACGGCGGTCTGGAGACCTGCTGCTGCTGTTGCGGCTGTTGCCTCCAGGGGGCGGGCTGGGGAGCACTCGGCTTCTGGGCAGGCTGGAAATACGCGAAAATACCTTTATGTTCATCACTGTGTTAAAGTAATTAAGTAGTAAGTAATTACGATGAATTAATAATTCGTTTTATATTTAGTTTTCTAGATGCAGTTGATGTCGCGTTCGTTACATCACATACTTACTTATACCTTATTACTTATATACTTATATACTTATATTACTTATACCTTATTACTTATATACTTATATTACTTATACTTACTACTTATGTAGTGAGAACTCCCGAGGGAATGGGTCGTCAACATGGACGTGGATAAAGAGAAAGGGAGAGGGAGAAAGAGAGAGAGAGAGAAAGAGATAGAAAGAAAGAGAGAGAGAGAGAGCGCGCGCAATAGAGAGAGAGAGAGAGAGAGAG